AAAAGAGAGTGCAAACAAGGTAACCACAGAGCATGGCCACATCGGCCACGCATTACACTGCACCTCGTCGACCGAAGGCACACAACGTCATCTACAACGGCCAACGGGCCACCAAAGGCAAGGACGCTCATCGTCCTTCGCCATCACTTAATCACAAGGGGCTCTTCGGCAGAAACATGAAAGCTAATCAACGACGGCCAAAAGGAGTGCGCAAACACCCTCATCGGCCATCCAAAGGGAAAGACGCCATCGTCCTCGAAGCAAAAACCAACTGCAGTGGCCTCATCGGCCCAAACACAAACTTCAACCATCAGCGCCCAAGCAAAACGTGCCTTCAACGGCCACCATTGAAAGAAGGACACTCATCGTCCCAAAACGAAGACATCAAGTAAACAACGGCCTCCCTGTCCACAACGAGGAACAGGTAACGGCCAAGGGCAACAAAGCACATGAATCTACTCTCCTTCACTTCGTCTACGTCTCAGCTTAGAGAGTGGGGGACTCCTGATGGAGTATATGGGTCTGAGCCCCCGGACCCACATACTCGGAAGAACAGAAAGCACAAGACAACAGAGTGGCGCCCTCGTCGGCCAAGACGCCCCCGTCGGCCGAAAAGGGACCAACTCGGATTATGGTCCTGAGTCCAAGGAACCCGGGTGCCCTCGTCGGCCGTGCCCTCGTCGGCCGTGCCCTCGTCGGCCACGCCCCCGTCGGCCAAGAAGACCTCCCAGAATCAGATTTTACACTTACTCATTCGTACAGCCCATTAGTGGCTTTGTATTCGGCCCAGTAGCGATCCAGTTGGAAATGGGCCTCCCAAGCCCAAGGCTTGGGAGCCCAACCCTAATTTTCTCTATAAATACTCCCTTTGGGAGTAGTTATAGGGGTTACAAATCATTCTATTGAAGCATATTATTGCACTTCTCTCTCTAGCTCTCACTTCTCTCTAGATATACTCTATCACATATATTTCTCTTTTCACAAAAATGTCCTTTTACTGCCCTTTTCAACACTACTGCCTATTCCACATTACTGCCCTTTTCAATAGTACTGCATGTTCCAGATTACTGCCCTTTTCAAAAATTTCTACCTTTTCAGGATTACTGCTTCTCTTATACACTGCATGTATTTATTTTTCTTTGAACAAATTTGTCCTATTACTGCCCTTTTTTAATACCTTTAACTGCTGTGATCTCTTTTTGAATTGCCGAGTAATGCCCTATTGCAATTGCCGCATAATGCCCTACTGCAATTTCCCCCAACAATGCCCTACTGCAATTCCCCCCAATAATGCCCTAATGCAATTGCCCCCAACCTTTTCCATACTGCTCGACCTGAACAAACCCCAGTTCGCGAGTATTGCCTAATAACTCCCAACCCCAAAATCTCTATCAAATATATTTCTCTTACTTACTCATACATCACATAAACATAAACATCATAAACATCACATAACCCCAGTTCTATATTATCACGAATTTACTGTCTAACATATTACCAGACACAATACACATCACCCTCCTTTTTTACCATTCAAAATTCATCTTAAATACAGACAAGAACAGGTAAACGTACCACTTCGTCGACAGTAATTACATGACTTTCAGTCGCCGCTTGCTTTGTTGAAGCGTGGGTTCGTTTCTCTTGCTTCCCAACTGCTCTCTTTCCCCGCTTCAGAGTCTTCTTCCTCATTTTTGCCTTCAATCTCCGCCTTCGAGTATTGCCTAGGAGTATCTGTACCCACGACGTTTCAGTTAATACGAATTATCCGTTTTGGGAAGGCCCAAATTTACGGCGCTGGTTTCTCGCTTATTCCATTTCTGAATCCGCGTGTGTTAGTTACTGGGAAGGGCATTTTTGGTTTTCTATTGCCATTGTATCATGCGCCCATGTATGCCACACGGTGTTTAGTCATCGCAAATTATACCGTACACCCAGATGTACGGTCCTCACCGTACATCCGGGTATTTTTGAAATTAATTAGAACCTCAATGGTGAATGTTCTGTCTTCCGATCCCTTGCTGCTCGCTAGGTCTGATGATGGAGGCGTTGATCTGCTAGCTCGCTGAAGTCTGATGAAGGAAGAGCCGATCTGTTAGAAGTCCTAAAAATTCCTTCCACTGCTACTCGCTCACTGGGTGTTCGGATGAAGGAAGCGTCGATCTGGTGAAGGAAGTACGAAGCGCCGTTCAACGTTGTTTCGTTGTGTCCAAGAGGTTGCTTTTTGCTTTGTGCACAACCGCCATCTAGTTTTCTCTTTTGCTTTTGACATTTTCTTTGCTTTTGATTTTACTTTATTTTGTTTAGTCTTATTTTTTACTTCTTTTCGTTTGTTTATTTGTTGATTTTTTATATATTATTCTGAGCACATTAGAAATGAATTTTAGCTTAAACTCAAATGAGTAAAATGCCTAAAAAATGAACATATACAAATGAGCTTTTGAATTTTTGAATACTCATTTTGTGAATTATGTTTGTTCATTTAGTATCTCTGATATGCTCATTTTTAAAATGTTTTAGCAATGCACATTTCAAAAATCTCATATTACATTAGATTTATATAAGAGTTGATTATAGACACGAGACCACAAATCATGATACTCAATCGCAGATTCCAATACTCAATAACGGGGATTTGATGTTCAACGAATAAAACTTACAATTTTCATATCAATGCTCATCTTGTAAGTTACACATGCTCATTTGTATAGGTCTGATGCTCATTAATAATTTATTAATGCTCATTTAATAGAAATCACGATTTTCATCAATCTCAATAGAGGAGTTTTGAGGCTGAATGAAAATGTTGTGATGTTTAACCAACAAAGCAACTAACAAATTCATTAATACTCGTGCTGTAAGTTACATATGCTCATCTGATACTCATTTTATGTTCATTTTCTAAATGTCATATCGATGCATTTTTTAAAAGTATTATTTTATGATAGACTCCTAATACTCAACATAATAGGTTTGATGCTCATTAAAAGTTCATTATTGCTCATTCACAAGAAACTATGATTTTCATCTCAATAGCAGATGTTTGATGCTCAATTAAAATGTCGTGATGTTTGACTAACAAACCTTACGATAAAAAATAACAAAAAGAAAGTGAATTGGAAGTTTGTAAATCAGAGATCATGATTCTGAATATTAGACTCCTAATACTCAACAGAATAGTTAGGGTGCTCATTAAAAGTTCATTATTACTATTCTCCAGAAGTCGTGATTTTCATTGCAATAGTTGAGGTTTGTTGCTCATTTAAAATGTCATGATGTTCAACTAACAAACCATACGATTTACATATCAACGTGCACTTTGTTAGTTATGTATTCTCATTTGATACTGATATTATGTTCATTTTTACAATGTCATATCAATGCATATTTCAAAAGTATCATATTACATTAGACTCACATATTGAAATTAATAGGAGTGAATTTTAGATATAATTTAATACGGAGTAAGTTTTTATAACAGAAAAAATAGAAGATATGAAGCAGAGATCGTGATACTCATTATTAGCCTCATAATACTCAATACAATATGTGAGATGCTCAACAAAACTACAATATTGCTCATTTAGCGGGAACCATTATTTTTCGCTTAAATTACAAAACTGCCACATAAAAAATAGGTTGTTTTAATTTAATGGACTGTCTTTCTTTTAATTGGGCCTTTTTATGGGCCTTCCGTGGGATACATTTAATTCTATTCAAACTAGGTTATTAAAATGGACTGAAGCATAAAAATTTTTAAAAAAGCCCGGATGTACGATTCTCACCCGTACACCCGGGTGCAGGATATACGTACACTTTAGTCATAGGCAGTGGCGGACCCACCTTGAGTCCCAAGGGGTCCCGGGACCCCACGGAGTTTTTAAAAAAACTATATATATTATATATATAATATACAAAACTTTACCAATTAATGTATATATACAAAGCAAACCTAAAAGGTACAGAAAAAATGAAATAGAGTAACGGATATCCGTTCAAGGTGAAAGTCTATCCCCTTTTGATGTTAGAGGTTCGAATCCCATTGGCAACTTTTGTTTTTATGGCTAACACTTCCCCAATAATTCATATTTTTAAACCTTTCACAAAAATAGTTTCTACTCGAAAATTTCATGATAATAATTTGAACTCATTAACCGTTTCACAAAAATTCATGAACTTTCCGCAAATAATTTTTTCCATCTTGAATTGAAAGAAAAGTATTAAAATATTATTTATACTACATTTAATATTATAAAGTAAATTTAGCAATACTATATTAAAAAAAAATACAAAAGTTTTATTTTTTTGGCGAAATCTTCCCCAATAATTCATATTTTTTACACATTTGACAAAAATAATTTCTACTAGAAAAGTTCACGATAATAATTCGAACTCATATACTGTTTCACAAAAATGAACCAGAAGCTAATGATGTTAACTTTCCGTTAATAATTTGTTCTGTATTGATTTTAGAGAAAAGTATTAAAAATATTAATTATACTACATTTTATATTAAATTTGATATCTCTTATAATTTAGAACAAATGAATACTAATTTAACATAAATTTTATATTATGTTTTTGTAAAATATTTCCTCATCCTTTAAATATCCACAAGGTTAAAGTTTAAATTTTATTAACCCCTTTAAAGTTTTTCTCACCCTTTAAGCATGGATGTTTCTTTAAATATTTTATTAAGTGAAGAATTGGATCAAATGATTGCTAATTGTAAAATTAGTTTGACTAATAATTTATACGAGCAAAATATTCAGGAGATGATCCTACATTGAGAAAAAATATTGCAGATTTTTATCCTAATGTTCAACAGGGACCCCGTGACTCTATGTTTCTGGGTCCGCCACTGGTCATAGGTATGTTAAAATTCAATTTGAGTCATATTTTGGGAAACCTCATGTCTTTTAGTATTATTATTTAGGTTTTTTTCCCTTAAATAATGGTGTTCGATTTCTATTACTCCTATTGGCGGCTATTGCTTATTTAAGTACAGAACTCCAAATGAGGACACGGATTGAATTAAACTCCATTAAAGTCATGCCGCCTTAGATAGGGGAAAATACTTCGGATTCCGTATGAGTGTATCGGCCATCTTCTCTGCATTTCAGTTTTCGTCGCCTGCTTGCTAGAGACACATGGAGTATCGAAACAAGATGGTCCTGGCCCCGATGGTCCGAGTAGTAAGACTTACTAGTCTTTAATCTGGTCACTATTCTTGGATGTCCTCTTTTATCAATCCCATTCGGAACTAGGTCTAAGTTTGTAAGTGCAAGAAAGTTCTCTGTTGTTACAATACCACCCCAGCGACCTGGTTGGGTAGCTGCCTAGCTGGGGTTAGAATTGTAAAAAGTGCAATTTGTGAGTTTTTGTTTGATGTTGCTCCTTATTTCTAGAATTTGCTATTACATGTATATCATATGGTTAGGAACATGAAGTGGTTCAGTTTTTGGACGAAGAGTTAATATTTTAACAGGGAACGCTACCATTTAGGTTGCTGGCGGCTGAATATGGTGCAGACATAACTTATGGTGAGGAGATCATTGATCACAAACTGCTGAAATGTGAGCGCCGTGTCAATGGTATGGCAGCGTGCCTTTTTCTTAATTCTTGCACTCCCTCCGTCTCAATATTAACTCCTCTTTGTAGTTTTAACTTAGATTGATAAATGAAAACCGTGTGATCGAGAGTTGTCAAGATGAGGGAGATAGTATGAATACAAATCCCTTTGCCATGAAAGACAAATGAAGTATATTTTGGGACAGATGGAACAAGAAAGTTTGAAGATAATTTAGGGATGTATGTAGCATTGTGTGCCTGTTTAATACGGAGTATGCATTTGGTACAGTCTGTACTGATTTTTCAAACCACGATTCTTTTAGTCAACATATGATGCTATCCACTTTAGAAGTCCGCTGGACTCAGCTCCATTAGCACATTGGATTAGTATACTTGTTTTTTATTAGATTTCAGTACTTCCAGCAAGCAAAGGGTATCTTATGGCTGGTAACTCAAGGACAACCTATAGTTCCACTGTGGAGTTATGCCCGTGTTTGCAATTTTTTTAAGCAGAAAAGGAATGTTCGGGAAATTTTTGTTGAATTTTGGAAATAAAACTATAAAAGGGCATCTTATGGTCATTAGACCCGCTTCAATTTATGGATGACAATGTTAGCCTATTTAGAAAGGTGTGGTATACTAGAAGTGTTAGCATAAAAAGTGTTGAATTTTCATTTCCGTTGTACCCAAAAAATAAAAAGTGTTGAATATCTAGTATCGAATAAAGAGTTTAGTGGAGTAAATAAGAAGAGTTTACATGTTTAGAGATAATCCACAAGGAAAGAAATACGAAGTTGAAACTAAATGCTATAATAGCAACTATAGCGTAACAACTACCAATCCTTATTCCCAAAAGAGTTTGGGGTTCAACTAACCTGAATTGACATATGATATCGGAGTTAAAAAAATTAGATAAAGAAAGAGGGAGACAAACAGGAAATGGAATGATTTATTCGATACACCATATGAAATGGACCATAGTGTTGGACAATTAGGAACAACATGGTTACAAAGATGAGTGTAACATTAATTCATATGTTACAATTATTGTATAGTGTGAAATTTAGAGAGCTGGAAATGTGAAGGTCCATGTGAAAGTGGGCCAAGCATCTATTGAAGATGATTTCAGGGGGGAAGTTACTATGTTGATTCAGACATGCTTGTCTGCAACTCTGCAAGAGGTAGGTGCTTCAGTACAAAGGCCAAGGGTTAGAGCTCTGGAGGATGAGAGAATCACAGAGGTATCGTGGTAGAGTGAGACCAATATGAATTGAGGTGTGAAAAAACATTACTATATTAGTTGTGGAACTTCATTAGTACATAATTCACGACGAGTAGTTGAAGATAAAATGTTGATAGATGACATCAAGAGATAAATTCATGTTGCCCACCTCAATGATTTAAAATTAGCAATTGGTTGTTGTTGGTGGTCGTGATATCCCAAGTGGGCCAATCCACAGTGCTACAATGGAAACTGGTGTCGCTTATCGAAATCTACACTCCACAGTTTCTATCATCTATAGTTCTGTTTTGATGTACTCCAGACATCATTACACTGCATTCACTATTGTCACTATGAGGCTTCAATTCTTTCCTTGTTCAGCGGTTTTAGTATTCGGTCTAGTACTGTAAACTAATAACATGCTATTGGTATTCTGTATTCATATTTATTATGCTAAACAGATTTTTTTTTTGTGTGGGCTAGCTTGCTGTTTATTCCATTGGTTCCCTCATTTGGTCAATAATATTTTGGTTTTTCGATAAATAATTCTACATTGGTGTACGCAAAAGAAAGTTTTTATTTATTGATCCTTTAGCTTGTGTTACTAATTTTATTTGTGGAATTTGCTTCTTTCAGATCCCTGACAATCCAATTTTTCAAGGAACAAACTGACCACTTTTCCTCTTCTTCAATAGATTTATTGGGTACAGTTGACTTTGTGGAAAAGGGAACAGGAAGTGTTGTTTTTAGAACATGCTCTGAAGAAAAAAATCGGGTCGTATTTCAAATGGGCACTTCTGATGCTGTGAGGGCTCTTAGTGCTGCTCAGATGGTGTAAGCTCTTTGTAGATGTTCTTTCCTGGATATTATAATCATATTGATATTATAGAGCCCGTTTGGTTTGGGACTTGGGGCTATTTAGCTGAAATTGGTGGATCTACCTAATTTTCTGAAAGAAAAAGCATTTGGTAAAATCCGTTTGAGCCAAATAAGTAAATGAAAGCTACTAATTCAAATTATTTTGCTTATTCTGTTAATAAGCAGAATAAGCCAAATTGGTCTAGCAAACGGGCTCACAAAGACACAAAGTGTTGGCTATTTGATGTATTTTGTAGGATCAAAAGTGGATGCCTGCCTGCAATTTGAGTGTGCTAATCTGACTGGTTTACCATTTGTAGGTCTAAAGATGTTGCTGCAGTGGATATCAACATGGGTTGCCCTAAATCTTTTTCTATCTCTGGAGGAATGGGTGCTGCTCTGCTGACTAAACCAGAACTCATTCATGATGTGCGCATTGCTTTGTCCAAGCCTGAAAAATTATTATATCTTGGGCTCATTTACAGTTCCTACAAAATAATCTTTTGTCCTGTATTTACTGTGGTACAGATATTGACAACATTGAGAAGGAACTTAGATACACCTGTGACCTGCAAGATCCGCTTGTTGAAATGCTCACAAGACACTGTACAGTTGGCAAGACAAATTGAAAAAACCGGAATATCTGCCCTTGCTGTCCATGGAAGGTGTCTACTGTAATCACTAATCAAAGTTTACGCATAATTATCTGTACTGTATGGTCATCAAATTTCAAAGTTAAAAGCTTCTTTATACAGTAAATTTGTTAAGATTTCTTGACTGGAGATTTTATGTATTGAACTGTAGGAAAGTTCCAGATAGACCAAGAGATCTGGCAAAGTGGAGTGAGATTTCTGATATCGTTTCAGCATTATCTATACCAGTTATCGCAAATGGTGATGTTTTTGAGTATGACGATTTTCAAAGAATCAAAGATGCAACAGGTATTTTCAATAATTATTTTAGATGCTTCATCTTTCCTTTACGTGCTTTTTCAAAAAAGAAAATAATCTTCATCTTCTGCTGATTTATCTGCCTAAGCGTAAAATCATAAATTTTCTTGTTCTGAATTTAATACTTTAGCTATGGAAGCCAGTAGATGGACCACAATAGGACACAGAAGGGTTGTGCTTTTCTGCGCAAATGGGTGTATGCGGCTATATGCAGGCCATTTCCTTGAATCTTAATATAGTAATTTGATTGAAGATGTAATTTAGAACAGAAGCGTTCTTTAAATTTTGTACAAGCACTGAAATGCAAAACATGAAATGAAAATTGTAATCATGGAAAACATCATTTTAAAATGAAAAACAGTTGTAATAAAGATTTCAGTAGAGTTAACTTAAGTTAACTAAAAATTTCCTAACAGTTGTAATGCCAAGGGTCAGTTTTGTAGTTGGGTTGTGGAGGAATTTAGGGGCTGAAGTGTAGATTTTGATATATGTTTGATACCTGTTATAAATTGAAGGAATAGCAAAATATGTCATAATGCAATGTTTTAATCATTTTAAGGAACATTCTATATATAAATGATATTGACTAAGCCCTCCATCCAAACATCCCCAAGAGTGTAAGAGCATCTTAGGTTTCATATGCTATAAGAATCCATTAACGTGTTTCTGCTTTTTCAGCAATATTGTGCATTTATGCTTGCTTCCATTACTTAAGAGAATTTGATTGTTAGAAGTATGTCTTTCAACAAGACTATTTATTTGCATTTCCATAATTTTATAAAGAAACTACACTAAATATGACTATAAAATGATTAAAGTTCCTAAATAGGAATCCATGTTTTATATTCCCTAAATAGGACTAAACATTACATTTCTACCCATAATATAATTAATTGCCCCACGCTTGCTTGCTTCCTTAGGGGATCCGGCGGCAGCCTGGCAACTGGTGGTGGCGGCAGTCCGGCGTGGCTGCAGTCCGGTGACCAAGCTTCAACCCCTACAAGGGTGTTTTTTCCAATCACAAATCATGACTCCTACTTAGGGAACTTAAAACATTGACTCCTACTTTTGCCCTAAGTAGTTTTTACTCCTATTGTGGGAATTTCTCTAATTCTATATGCGTGTGTACATTTGTCCCCACTTTTTATGCGCAAATTTCTGCTTACAATATAGAAATTTTAGGCTTTTGTTATATTTGGTGATGATTCTAGGTGCATCATCTGTGATGGTTGCTAGGGGAGCAATGTGGAATGCTTCTATGTTCTCGCCTAATGGAAAAGTACCCTGGGATGATGTGAAAAGAGAGTACGTGAGAAAGGTATTTGACCTGCTAATATGTGATTATATCCATACACGGGTTTCCTCATTTGATCATCTAATTTCCAGATCAAACAAACAGGTTATGATTTAATCCTATTTTTGGCAATTTTCACAATTTTTAGATTTATTTGATACATAGTACCGGGTTATCTACTCGGTGAGTACTCGGCGAGTACTCGGCGAGTACTCACAACTCGGGTACCGACCTTGTCGAGTAGCTATCTGACTCGGTTCGTGTTTTATTTCCGAGTTACTCACCGAGTACTCAGCGAGTTTCTCAACTCGGTGAAGTTTTCAACTCGGCGAGTAACCGGTCTAACTCGGCCCCCCTTTAAAATTGAAAAACTAAGTTACAAAACCTAGGTTAAATGGAGTTCCTGACATCTACTATCCCCCAGAGGTGTGACTATGATCTCTCAATAAGTTCTCATCCTCTTTCTTGTATCTCCCCCCCTCTCGTTTCTTCTTCTTCCGCCCTCCCATCCTTCTTTGCCAATTGTTCTTTTCTGCATTCTTAAAATATCACCATCTTGATTGTTTAATATTGATGCACACATATTTGTCGATATAAATAAATTATTTTCACCAGGTGACTATATATTATACTTTGTACTACGTAACTTTAAATTAATATCACTATATTGATTGTTTATTATGGCACATCATTGATCGATACACACTGATACACATCATCTAATTGACAGAATATGTTAATCACACGCTTAAGAGAAAATCAGATGATTTAGGATGGACATGGGGAGAGAACAGAGATCCTAGCAAATTATTAGATGATTGAGTTTTCTAGAAGACTTAGAATGTTTATGACTTTTTCTGCTCCATCATTAGGATTTCTATCATTTTATTCATTTCTATGCATTTTAAGACAAATTTAAGACTTATATTTCTATAATCTCAGGCACATGTACTATTAAATTTAATAATTACAAGACCGAGTAGTCACCGAGTAATCCCGAGTAATCAGTCCTACTCGGTACTCGGCCCTCGAATGAGTTACTACCGAGTGGTGAGTTAACTACCTAGCATAGTACTAGTATATTATTATTAGAAATAGTTATATGGCATACTAGGAGTGCTTGTCACTTCGATGATATTACGAAGACCGAAGACGATGTTGTAGCAAAGATCAAGCACGTGGTTTACAAGATTCTCTACAACATCTATCCTCATGAATTGATCACTTTTTGATTTCTTTAGCCACGGCTAGTGTATGTTTTTGTTGAACTTTTGGTGTGTGCAGCTTGCAACACCATCTGATGGCTTTTTGCCTTGGTTGTTTTTGGACCGACCCTTTCTTGGGTGTGTGTCTTGCTTGATTTGTTGGTGACCAACCTTGCTTGGTAGGTTGCCTTATAGTTTTGGACACATGTGTACATGTTATTTTTCGGATGATATATATTTACAGGTTCATCCAAAAAAATAGAAATAGTTATATGGCTGCCAAATATACTCATGTTATGCCAACTTGTAGCTTACCTAGATATGTGCCTTTGTGGCATCATGTAATGAGAACTTGCTAAAAATATCTGCTGGTACCAAATTGGAATGATTCTAATAACTTGTAGTACCAATTTCAAGTAACTTAAAGTCTTAAACGATTGGTACTGATGTGATACATGTATCCTTGTTTTGCTACAAAACCAGATAAAGAAAAACTCTAGGAGAGTTAAGTCATTTACACAAATCGATGTTTTTTCATTTAAAGATTTCTCTATTGATGTTCAGTTTACTATAGTTGAACTTAAATTATCTCCGCTCCTCCCTTTGTAGAGTATCTTGTGGGATAATGACATCAAAAGCACAAAACATACATTGAAGGAGATGATAATGCATTATTCTTGCCTTGAACTCCCTGAGGGAAAGGCTGTCATCAAATCAGAAACATTTGAACATCTGGCGTAAGTCTAACTGTCTAACTTTGATTGTTGAGTTCTTGTTTAAACTATGTCACAATTATCCGTGTCATAGTTGATTACTTGGTGGCTTGGTGCCTACTTGTCTACATTTTTACAGTCGCGTTTCATTTAAAAAAACATCAGTTTATTTGTACAGTTTATTCAGCCATTTTCAGCCAAATCTTTTCATGGGTCTCACTATGTTTGTCGCATACCATATTTTGTTAGATTTATGTGGATCAAATTCATTCTTTCATCATTATCATTACCCTAGTGCCGCAAAGGAGAGTCCGATGTACGCAGTCTTACTCGTGTACTAAAGCACAGAGAGACTGTTTCTGAATGACCCATAGTAAAATTCACGTCAAAAATCGCCATGAATTGACTGCCTCTTTATAACAAAGAAGCTCAGACATTTTTGTGAGCCATTTAGCTTTATTCCATCATTCTAATTCATTCTTTATATTAACAAATTCATTATCAATCATCTAATTCTACTAATCTTAATATTGGGACATGTGTCACTTTCTCATATACCAATCTTAGTGGCACAGAGGTAAATCAATAACCTAAAGAAAATGGTATCTGGTATCTGCATGCAGCCATGAACTACATTGGATATTTAAGATGCTTCTATGTTAAAATTTCAGGAAATTATATGGGGAAGAAAGCTATTATCAACATGTTATGCGGAACAGGTGTGCTTTTGGGGGAAGCAGATGACACTGATTTTAATGATGGACCCGGGCCGGTCCGGTTCCGGGCCGGGCCCGGGCGGGCTTTTTTCCCAGGTACTTGGGCCCGGAACCGGCCCGGGTTGATACCGGGTCCGGGCCTAACCGGGCCGGGCCGGGCCTGGTTTAATGTTTAATTTTTTTTTTGGCTTTCTTGTTATCCCCCGACCCCCCCCCCACCCCCCCAAACCTCCCCAAAACACCCAGCCCTATCCTAGGAAAAGAAAAAACATTAAAAAAAAAACCGGGCCCAGCCCAAACCGCCTGGGCCGGTTCAACAAAAATGGGGCCCAAGCCCGGCCTGCCCGACCCGCCAAAACGGGCTAAAAGCCCGGAACCGACCAACCGGTCCCGGGCTGGTCTGAGCCCGCACAGTGGCGGGCCGGTCCGGGTTCCGGGCCGGTTCGGCCCGGCGCAATCCATCCCTATCTGATTTTGTTGGGATTTTAAGAGAACAAAAATGTATTTTTGGTAAATTAGGGCTGTGTTATAGGTATCTCACAGTCTAAGTGAGACGGGAGAGTAAAGGAAAAAACTGCTTTGGGACTATCAGTGTGCACTTTTTCTATTGTGGCAAACGCACTATTACCTGACATGATACATGCAATTATGCAAAAATAGTTCAGTTTCACATAAAATTTTATCCACAATAATGTACAGTATACTTTCCCAATAAGGCCAATATGAGAACAAATATAACGAATCAACAACTCATAATGGTGTAAAATGTAAAAGAACACAAACTATTAAAGGTAAAAGTTAATAAGAAGAATTTGTGCAAATAGTTTTAAATGTCGAACCAAAGAAGGATATTTTAGAAAAGTTAATAACAAACAAAAGTGAACATAATTGTAGCACAAAAAAAGACTTGTTTAAATGAGCGGAGTAAGTTAACCATTATACGTTTCCTAATTTGGAAACTGAATGCCACGATTTGAATTATGATACTAATATACATGGGTCTTGGCAATTCAAAAGAATACCTAGGTGGTTTAAAGATGTTTTTACGTGGATTGTTTTCAGTCCCAAATTTGAGTAGCACAAACCAAATAAAAGTTGGACAATTATAAAATATATAGAGATTGAACATTTACAAGACCAGTTTAGACTAGATCAAATTAGACCAGATCAGACTAGATGCATATAAGTTGCAGATGTTTCTTCTCCTTGCTTGATCAGAATAGTCGACCAGTCGTCGGGCGGCCTCCATTTGAGATACTTTCGTGTGAATTTTTTGATGAAATTTTGTGAGCGTGTCCTTAATGAAGTGTAGATTATTTCCATCAAATTTCAATTTAAAATGCAATCGAGAAGTCGGTTAAATCAATAATATTATTGAAAAATGTTGCGCTCTTTATATACTACCTCCGTCCCAAAATGAACTTCTCATTTCGGATTACAATGCTTGACCGACGATAAAGCAACTCGATCCCTGTTCATACTCAGATTACTTTCAGTAAATAAAATTTACATATTGAGAAACTACATTAAACCCGCTACAAAGGCTGATAAAACAAATATAATTTTGATAAAAATTTGATTTATAAAACATAAGATTAAGAGTAATTTAAGTTGACCATGTGAATAGTGACTGTGAAGTTCATTTTGGAACGGAGGGAGTATATTATTGGCACATGTACACTGTTTTCAATACTTTATTTAATTGACTTCATGATTGAAATATGGTGGACATAATTTACATTTCATGAACATGCTCACAAACTTTTATAAAAAAGTTTTACTCGAAAGCACCTCAAATGGAGGTGGCCGTATGGTGTTTCGATTAGGCCGTCCTGATAGTGTGGTGATTAGTTTTTTTTATTATTACAAAATGTATGATATAGCAATTGTGATTTGTGACAGTGTGGTGGTTAGAAAAAATTTAAAAGTAATACTTTATAATTTTTTAGAAAACTGGGTTGAAATAATTGAAATATAAAAAATAACAAACCACAGAATTTGTTAAAAATACATTATTTTCTAAACCAAACTCACTTTACAATAATTATCTAATTTAAGTCAAAAAGTTAAGTATGAATTTGTTGGCCATCAACGCAGATCTAGGGGTGGACTCGGGTCCGGGTCCGGGCCGGGCCTAGGCCCGGGCGGGCTGACGGTTCAGGAATGGTGGACCTGGGACCAGCCCGGGTAGCCACCGGGTCCGGGCCTCCGGTTTACCCTCCCAAACCCCCCCAAACCCATCCTACCCATCAAGCCCAACCCGGGTGGAACCCCAAAAATGAAAAAATAAATAAAAAAAAATCAATTTGGCCCGGCCCGGTTCACCAAATTTGAGACCCGAGCCCGGACCCACCCTACCCCCGGGACCTAGGCCCGACCCGGACCCGAGAACCGGGCCGGTCCCGGTCCCGCACAGTAGCGGGCCGGGCTGGTCCACGGGCCGGGTGGCCCGACCCGAGTCCAACCATACGCAGAATGGGGAATGTTGAAAATTTGATAATTGATGAAAGTAGTTATATAGGGCCAAATTGCCAAAACATATACTTCGTACAAAGTATAAATGTAGGATTAAGTATGTTTTATTCTCCAAATAGGACTTATTTACTCCTATTAATTAAACGAATAACTTGATTAAAATTTCAAAAATATATAGGAGTGATGAGTAATATTCTGAGAACAAAACATTTGCAGTCCTATTGATGAACTTTATCTGTGTTTTAATATTATTTAGAGTTCACACAAAATGTTTTGAATTAAAATGCTTTCTTAGAATCTAGGGTTTCTTCTTCTGGATGGAGTGGTCCCTAGCGAGGCAACCCGATTCTAGTAGGTAGTATGCAAAATCGAGTATGTATAGTACAATAGCAGATTACACACACTATTAATTTTGGAAATTTAAATAAATGCATGCATTCAATCAACAACCTTGTTTCAATTAGTGTAATCTATTGAAACATTACAATCAATAACTTCATAAATAAAGGTAGGAACATGAATAAAGTTACCAACAACATCGGATTACATGTGTAACATCACATTACACCCATATAGAACATACATATGAATACTAACAATGTAAAAAGAATTATTAGAGAAATATAATCTAATCGCCAAGAAATGGCATATCTACAATTAATTGTATGAGGATTAGATTGTACAGTATGATTTGCATATGGTAAGAGGCCACTGTGCCTAAGAAGTGGCTCCAAAGAAGGTTCTCTTCCTCGGAAATCAATAAAAATCTGAAAAAGAAAGCAAACAAACAACATGAGCGGAAGAAACTTCACATATGAGGAAGGGGTCAGCCTAGCTGGTCGCCGACTCACATTTTCCTTTACGGGAGGTCTCAGGTTCGAAACTCAATGGTGTGAGTTTCAACCCGGATTACTCCAGACCCCCTCCCCAGACGCCCCCTAGAGTAAAAAAAAGAAGAAACTGCACATATAAGGAAGCAATAGAGGTTTTTTGTTTCATTTCCACCTCTAGCGGATGTTTGCCACCTCCAAGTGCGAGCACGGTTTCCCGGAATCTTCTTCCTAATCGTTGGACTTCCTATACCATAATATAAATATTACAGACATAAAGAGTGAGAGGGAAATGCATTATTTTGTTTTGTTTTGTTTTGTTTTTACCTTCTTATTTTCTAGCCCGACATCCTCGAATGCAGAGAAAGCATCAGCAGACAAAACCTCTGACCACTACATAATCCATAACTATCCCCTAATTAGACCATTTCTCATGCAAAAATCAATCAAAAATATAAAATAATACTACTCTCTGTGCATGTTTAATTATTTACTCGCAAACATATTCCTTTGAATTTTTTATTACTTGCAACTCCTTAATTCCTACTCTAGTAAGTTTTTCATCTACAAATACATTAATACTCCTTTTATACATTCTCATCTTCTGTTTTATAGTTTTTCATCTCCTACTATAATTCTTACACTTTCACTATATTATTTAAGCTAAAGGGTCAAATAGGCCTCTGTACTAGTCGTGTAAGCTCAATTCAGTCCCTGAACTAAAAAAAGGTCCAATTCGCACCCGAACTGGCAAAAAAGGTTCAAATTTCATTTTTTACAGGTAAACAACCGGTAAAAAGGATCCAATTCACACCCTTAAACTATTAAAAAGTGTCAAAATTGCAATAAATCCAAAGTAAAAAACGGAAACAATAAAAAAAATTTAAATTGACCTGTTGGCACTGTTGTCCTTATTATCGGTCATGGACTAAAAGGAAGATCAACTTAAATTTCAGGGATGAAAAATAGAATGTACTATATTAATTTACAGGCCAGGGACTTGAAACGTATTTAAATCTAAAATAAAACTACAACAAAGAGTGCAAATGTATAAGAAAAAAAAGAAGTGCATAAAGAGAATATATGAATATCAAAGTAAGAACCTGAAAGGGAAGAGAGAAAACACCGAATAGTACGAAATGATCAAATGCAACGTGAATACAAGCAAAGGTAGAAAAGCATGCAAAAAAAGGAAATTTGAAACACCTGGTAACCATAGTACCCAGCAGCATATCCAGCATTGAAGATGTGCTTGAAACCGCAAAGGGGCTTATCATTAGGAAATGATGAGGGGAGCACTCGTGTCCTCTTACAGACACGTTGGTGAAAATCAAAGATAGACTCTGAACCACCTGGGATGTATTTTGAATGCAGCTCAAGATCAACTATTGCGCTTTCTAACTGCAAAATTTAAAAATGTCTTTGTTACATAACTTACATTGTCAAGTACTTCCTTTGTCTCAAATTAATTTGCAAAGTCAATATTTTTTTGTCAACCAGTGTTAAAGTGAAACTCTCCTTATTAATATTTAATTTAATTTTTACTAATTAAGATTACATATTTAGAAACAACATTAAAATTTCTTCAAAGTTGCAAATTTCAGATTAGAATATAATTAATAATTGACATCCTAATTAAGTGAATAATAAAATGAAATTGTTTGACAAAAAAAATCAAGTTTGGAAATCAATTTGGGATGGAGGTAGTACTACTTTCACCCGTGTGATGTTGCACGGAGTGAGAGTTTTTATAAAATGAAAAAATGAAATTGTTACTCTCTTCAATTCGTTTCATAATTAAATCTTATTTTGATTTGGCAAGGCATTAAAAGGTATAAATTGTGTTGTTTAAAGTTGTGCAGATGAAATAAAAGTTGTGAATCAAACATACTTTGCCATAATAGAATGAAAAAATATATATTGGGACAGGCAAAAAAATCTTTTAAGTTTATTTTGAGATATAGGGAGTACACGATATCATCATAAAAAGTAAAATGTGATAGTAAATTACCCGGCATATATATTAAATAATTTAATTTTGTGTATTAATGAAAAAGAAACAAAACATAGTAACGATTTAATTCAACGATAAGATGAAATCATTATAGTGATAGTGGAAAATTAACGTAACATACTACGTAATAATGAAAGTATAATATGGAAACATATGTAAAGGAAGTGAAAGACAATAAAGATTATACCATCATATAAGCTACTCCGTATTATGTATAATCATATATTTTAGAAAATTTTCATTAGATTTAATAATATATGTACTATGAAGTTAAATGTGATTAATGTTGGCGGAGG